GAAGCAGGCGGCAGCACCACTGAGCTAAATCCCCGACCCAGCACTGGCATTTCTTGTGTGACACTACTCTATGAATGGGGCACTGGGCAGGGGCAGCTCCTGGTCCCTTCTACTTACCTCTCCTGGAGTGGGCTTGCCACCCACTACAGCAAGCCTGGACACCAGGCAGGCTGGAACCTTCCTGCCCCACGACTGAGCTGCCCCTCCTGGGAGTTGTCAGCTGCTTCTGCTCAGCATGGAGCTCTGCAGCCCAGAGCAAGGTGGTGAGATGCCACTGTCCCTCGGTCTCAGAGTGGCCCTGGACGCTCGTCCTGGGGGGCACCTGCTGGGCTGGGTAGAGCCCCCCCATGCTGTCAGTTTGTGTGGCCGAGCTCCTAAGGACCCCTCAGATGCCTTGCCGGGGGCCGTGGGCAGAGCCGCCCACCCTCCGCGAGGATCTGATGTCCAGTGCAGCCAACACCATTCAGCGGGCCTCTGGGGCCTCGTCCTGTGGCCGCTCCCAGGAGCGCTGCGCTCCAGTGTTTGCAGGGAACCCTGGCTGTCAGTGGGGAATGGTGTTTGGAAAGCAAGATCTCACTATCTGAAGGACACTGAAGTCAAATGGAACTTCCTGGCTGGGGTGGGTCGGGACCCTCCAAGGACTCCTGCAGGAGCTGAGACAGCTGGAGGTGGAGCGGAAGGAGCCAGCCTGCAGCTCCGAGACAGGCAACAGCCTGGGATTCAACAAACCAGCAGCACCAGGCAAAGGAAGCCCAGGTATGGCGTCAGGCCCACAGCGGGGACCGGCACCCCTGACCCAGACTCCCAGCCTTTCCCCAGATGGGTTTGACCTTTCTGTGTTAGAAGTCACAGGTGAGTAAAGTTAGTGACTCCCCCCCGCAACTGTGGGCCCTACTACCTGCCGCCTCCGCAGAACGTCTTGTGCAGCCTCACAGGAGCTTGGTGTGACCTGTGCCGCCGCCGCCAGAGTGCGGGCACTGGGCTTGGGTTTCACCAGAGGAAGGCGATGAGACCTTGCTCTTTTCCTTCCCTTATAATGAGAGGTTGAACATCTTTTTATACACTCAGATCTAATTGACATTTATTTGGTTTATATATCACCTTTAAAGTGGCTTTATGGAGGTATATTAACATTTTAAAACTACACTTATGTGACAATTACATGTTTGGAGACATACATAAAACATACATGCGTATACCAGTGAAACGCTCACAGTGATGAGAGCACCTATTACTCTAAAGTCTCCCTCCCCCACCTTTTCTTTTTGTACCTTGCACTTGTGAAGCAGGAGTTGTTGGAACCAGAGCTAAATCCCCAGCCCTCTTGCACCTTTTTTGTTCCTAATTTGTCAGTAGTGACTGTGCCTTTCTAGAATTTTATATAAATTTCTTTTCTTTTGAGACTTTTTTTTTTTTTTTTTTTTTTTTTTTTTTTTTTTATTTTTTTTTTTTTTTTTTTTTTTTGATTTTTGAGACAGGGTCTCACTGTGTAGTTGAGACTGATCTGGAACTCACTATGTAGCCCAGGCTGGTCTCAAACTCACAGCAATATTCCTCTCAGCCTCCCAAGTGCTGGGGTTATAGGCATGCACCACCACGCCCAGCGAGACACTCTTGCTATGTCATCCAAGCTGGCTTTGGACTTGTTATGCATCCAGGCTAGCCTCAAACTTGAAATCCTCCTTCCTCAGCCTACATACTGGGATTACAAGTGTGCACTCCTATGCCCAGCATAATCAAAACTGTATTTTTCAAAATTTTATTTTTACTGTGACTCTTTTTGAGACAGGGTCTCACTATGTAGTTGAGACTGACCTGGAACTCACTGTGTAGCCCAGGCTGGTCTCAACTCACAGAGATCCTCCTGCCTCAGCCTCCCAAGTGCTGGGATTACAGGCATGCACCACCATTCCCAGCTATGTACATTTTGAATTATACAATGTTGTAGTTTTTACTTCTTTCCTGTTGCTTCAAGATCCTTCTTTTATTATTTTTGAGGACCTCCTTCAACCACCCTTTTAGGGTAGGTCTATGGGCAACCAATTCTGAGAATGTCTTGGTCTCCCTTCATTCCCGAATACTTTTGCTAGACAGAATTCTAGGGTGAGGTTTTGTTTTTGTTTCTTGAGATCTTGAACTCAGAGTGATTCTCCTGCCTCAGCCTCCTGAGGGATTACAGGCCTGTGTGGCAAGATTTTTTTTTTTTTTTTTTTTGTTTT